TTAATATATATATATAATTTATATATTATATATTTTATTATATTTGATTATATACTATATTATATATATATATGTATATGATCTCTCACCTAACCATGTATCCATAGTATAAATCACATGATTTCTGGCACTCTCCTAATTCTGTCTTTGAGTTTTTCTGCATGACGGATTGGAAATCCATAACTCTGTTTTCTATATACTGGATAAAAATTTTCTTTCTTTTTGATTAGATGAAAAATATTCCTGTATATATACTAAATAATTAATATCACTATTATTGCAATAATAATTTTAATAATAGGAGAAATCTGATACTTATTATTAACTAAAGCCTCACATATTGCTCTTTTTATTGTAATATCTTGAATAAATGACTCCAAGTTCTGCTTATTTGTGATAATTGATAATGTTTCATTTTTTACGTTAGATATTTCATCTGTTGAAGACTTCTGGCTAATTAGAAAAATATCATTTATTTTTGCTTCCATTTGATTTTTACTTTTAAAATATTTTGCAAGGCTTTTAGATTTAGATATATCTCCAGAATTTGATATGAAACTTTGTTTCTTGCTCTGCATATTTTTTCTATACCTCTCATAACTACAGGATCCAATATATTCTTTGTTTTCTGCAAAGCAGGGTATAAAGCATCAAAACACTTAATCTCATTAATTTTTGAGGCTAATTCATTCTTTGTATTCGTTAATTTATTCTTTGTATTTGCTAATTCATTCTTTATATTTGTTAATTCAGACTTGAGAGATATGATCTCAAATTCTTTTTTACTATCCTTTCCTAAGATAAGAATATATCCTTTTGAACTGATTCTAACTTATCTTCTAATATTTTTTCATAGACCGAAGTACTGTAATTTTCTTTAATTCTTTCTGAGTTGAAGATAGTTTTGTTTTTAATATTTTTATCTTAAACTAGAAAATTTTTAACTTAATTTTAGATTTATTAAGAGAAATATCTTTGCAAGTAATCTGGGATGTTAGAGTATCTAACTCTAAACGCAATCATTTTAATTCATCTATAAGCTGATAGGTATATTTAGTGAGTTTCTTTTTATCTTTATTAGATCGATTTAGATCTTGTTGTATATATTTATTGTTTTTATCCAAGATAGAGCATTCATGAGCAAGTCAATTGCCATATTCTATAGCAATTTCACGATCATGATTTGCACAAACAAGCTGGTTTTCAAGTTCTGTTTGGCTGAGTGGAGAAGCAAAGCTTTGAATCTCTGACTCATATCGATTAGATGGTATATCTCTGAGTTTCGACCTTTACCTATATTTAATAAAGTATGAATTTGAAATATATATGTTTTAACACTAGCTCCACTATTATATTAATAAAAAAATAAATCGAATAAGGATTAAATATTAACCGATATATTTAATTAAATATTTACTGAAATAGAATTAGATGTTGACTAAATGATCCAGATATATCGAAACAAAATTAGATATTTATCGAACAGTCTAGATATATATCGAAACTAGATTGAAAAACTTTTGAATTTTATCTAAACATTTTTTTTTATTTTTTATAAATAGATCATGGCCCAAAACTTAGAAAAAATAGTTCGATATCTGTGATTAGATGCAACTTCTTTATCAGATAATAATATACAAGATATAATTAATGCCAAAAATTTGATAAAACATGTATCAGAAGCTATAGCTATCAAATATAAAATATCAACAAGATGTGTATATCAAATATGGAGAGACAATCATCTGCCAATTGATCCTAGAGAAGTAGTATCACAACTAATTAATATAGAATCGATATCATTATCAAAAAAGGTTAGTAAAAAAAATAAGATTAATAATAAAACAATGGAGCTAACACAACCAAAGATTCAAAGTTCTACTTCACCATGTGTAGTAAAAAAAAAGAGTCTCTTCTATAGACAATATATCTAAGAGAAAATCCAATCTTGAAAAATTAATAAAAGATACTGAAAGATTAGCTTCTATATGTCCATCTTTGCCTTAGTAAGCTGAGAATATTTTTTTGCAAGAACTCTACCTGCATTTAGAGCTATATCAAGCCACTCTTCAGTTTTTATGAGTCGCTTTTTAAATAAATCATATTTTTTTTAAATTCATACTATCATATATATCTGAAACTTGTTGCTCTGGTTCATTAATCTCTAGAGCCTTGCTAAAAGTTGGAATAGTGTAAGTCTTTCCATTTAACTTTATTCGAAATTGATTTTTATTTGGATCAAGAATACCTTGAACTTTTCAAATCCATATCATACCTAAACAGAATGATAAATAATATAGCAAGAAGGCAAATATGTATTGGTGAATTGCTAAATGAAAATTTTGCTTTTCAG